AAACAAATACTATTACTCATTCTCGTACTATTATATTTACAAACACTGTTATATACTCTCGTACTATTATATTCACAAATACTATTACTCATTGACGTACTATATAAATTTACAAACACTGTTAAATACTCTCGTACTATTATGTACACAAATACTATTACTCATTGAGGAATCTGTATTATATTTACAAACATGGTTATATACTCTCGTACTATTATGTGAACAAATACTATTACTCATTCTCGTACTATTATATTTACAAACACTGTTATATACTCTCGTACTACTATATTCACAAATACTATTACTCATTCTTTACTATATTATATTCACAAACATTTTTGTGTATATAATAGTATGAGAGTATATAACCATGTTTGTAAATATAATATAGTACGACAATGAGTAATAGTATTTGTGTATATAATAGTACGCGAGTATATAATAGTGTTTGTAAATATAATATAGTACGTCAATGAGTAATAGTATTTGTGTACATAATAGTACGAGAGCATATAATAGTATTAGTATATACAATATAGTACGTGGATGAGTAATAGCATTTGTGTACATAATAGTACGAGAGTATATATAACAGTGTTTATAAATATAATAGTACTCGAATGAGTAATAGTATTCGTTTACATAATAGTACGAGAGTATATAGCCATGTTTGTAAATATAATATAGTATGAATGAGTAATAGTATTTGTGTACATAATAGTACGAGGGTATATAACAGTGTTTGTAAATACAATATAGTAAGTACTATTACTCATTCACGTACTATTATATTTACAAACACTGTTATATTTACAAATACTATTACTCATAATAAATAATCTGTATATAGTTCAACTAATGTCATTTTTATGAGTTATTAATATGTACTGTTCTGTAATTTCATGAATATTTTTGAAAACACGGTTTTAACACCAAAGATAATTTTGACGGTTTTTCAAGAGTTTGGCGCAAGATGAATTTAATCGACGGCAGACTTTACTTGGTTTGTAGAATGAATAATATAGTGAACGTTTTGGGAAATTGATATGATTGCAATTATTGGGATAAAAAAATTTAATAGCCGGTAAATTACTATTGATGAACAATAAAATATTTTCATCCATTATATATTTTTTTTTAAGAATACAGGACATTTATTTATTGTTATATGAATAAAGGTTTTTAAATGGATTGTATCAATAACCCATCCTTGATATTGCTAAGAGGAAGAGAAATTAATCAAAATGATCGCTGTTCTAAAGAAAATATGAATGTTTCTAACATCCGTTACCTCAATGCTATTTGATCATATTTGCACATCACAATATCACACGATACCTCGGACACGACCATCGGGAGATGAAAGATCAAATCGGTAAAGGTTTGAATTTTATTATATTCATGGTCTCTCTGAGGTTTATGCCAGGAACAGACCTAAGCACACAGTTTGGATCACGATATTTTATCATTTGTAATACATAAATATTCGTGTAATGTTTGTTCATTATAAGGAGATTGAAAATTAGCATGAATGTTATTGAAAATCATTCTTGAGATCTACCTAAATGATGCTGTACCTCTGCAATTTATCGCATATATTATAGAAAGTATTTTATTACATTCTTCGTTCTTTGGATGGTGGAAACAATATTTGACTTACGGATTCTAAAGTATTATTTTAATGTCTATTATTTTAATTATTCATCAGTATTCTTTTTCATTCAGTATTCAACTAAAAGTTTATATTTGTTTTTGTATAATTAATACTAATTAGTTGAAAATAGTGTTTGAATTTTCTATTATAAGCAACACGATCTTTCGATAGTTTTTCAATAATTAAATTTGCATGAATGTAATTTATTTTTTATGATTTGCTAAGTACTAATTGAAAGTATTAAAGTTTTAATAACCCAGGCTTAATGAAAATATTATTCATATTCAAATTGCATTTTTTTCGGAAGTAATTCATTAAGTTCTGGCAAAACAATAAAATTTGATTGATGCAAATGAATTATTGGAACTGTAATCATGCGCTAATTTAATTTTCCCAATGGTGACTTCAATTTAGATGATGCAAAAAAAATTAGAAAGTACGGGATGCGGAAATGTTTCTTTTTAATAGATAATGACTAAATTAAATGCATGGTCTAAAGAGAAATCAATTGCAATTAAAAGACGTACATCTTAGATAAATGATTTTATAATCTTTGTTTGGAATTTTGAATGTCATGATCTTACTAGGTTCAGTCTTCTCATCCATCTTTAAAGAGAAAGCTCAAGCCTATAGTTTAGGTTGGATTATTGATGTGCGCATGATGTGAAAACAATCGGGAAGGAGTTTAGGGTCAATAATACCAAATAGATACATAATACATAACAAAACTATACTAAGATTTCTATTATTAACCCATTTCAGTTTTTTTGAAATTTAAAATTTTGCGGCAATTTATACAGCACTTAGTAAAATATAGAATTTGTAGTATTGGTCTGAATTGTATTGCCTTTATTAATGCTCACTACGAACAATTCGAAAAAGGTTTACATCAACATTACCATTATATATTAATCTAATAATAGTAAGTCTTATAAAAATATCTTTACATCTGCATAATTATATTATTAATAATTGAATAATAACAGATAATTACAATGATTTATTTGTAATTAAATGAATTCGTTTGTGTAATAAATTTACATATAAGTCGTCGAATAGATTATTCAAAAATGACATATATATTTTTGTATATATATATACAAAATATTTATGCCAAAATATATTTATATATATATATATATATATATTGTATATATATATATATATTGTATATATATATATATATATTGTATATATATATATATATACATATATAGTTGTATCTGATTATAAATTTTTTATTAACTTTCACTTAATTATGAAGATAATGATCCTGTTTATTTTATATCCATAATATTATTCTGATTTTTTTTTAAACACATGAAGTACATTGAAAACATCTGAAATAATACATATTTTAAACAAATATGTATTATATCAAATATTTATTTTTTGATATGGTCTTTTTGAGTGTTTTAATAGTCAAATTTACATAGGAATATGCGGATAAGATATATCTCTTTATGAACTATGAATCATCCGATAAAAATGTACGAATCTTTTGTAGATAATATTCAAGAATGTTGAATCAGTTTGTTGCAAAATTAAAATGGATGAAAATGTATTTATTTCATGATATTGTAGATTCATTACAACTGGTCTCTTATTTTGTGAGAGAAACTTGGCAAAAACCTTTCTACAAAAATTTGTTGCAAAAAATAAAATCTGCTACATATTGAAATAATAAGTTATTATTTAAATAGAAAGTTTATCGAGAGTTATCACATATATTCACCCATTCACCTTTTGTTTATATTTCGAATTGCCAACTGATGTACAGACGAACATTGTTCTAATATTTACTTTTATTATTGTTTTAAGAATTTAAATATTTGAAATTATCATTTATTGATGTAAATATAGAGATCTTTTGACTGACATATATCTTACTGTATCGATTGTTATACATATTTTCTCAAACGTGGATAATAAAAAATTATCATTATGATTTGAGGCGATGTAATAAATATAATTATCCATCGGATTTATTTTACTTCATTCATTAATTATTATGAATTCACATTTGCATTTAATGCGATGCTTTGAAAACAGATTGTTATTGAAAATATCATCAGTTATTATATATCAAAGATTAGTAACAATAACAAGCATAATGTGACATAAGCTTGTAAGATTAAATTCAGTTGCGATATGTTGTAATAATTAATCAATGATTTATAACATCAAGGACTTTTTGCTTTAATAAATGAGGTAATATTTTAAAATTTGGCTTGCGGAAATTGCAAAGAACAGTGTCTAGATTTAGGCATGAGTAGAAGTTTATATATATATATATATATATATATTTGTATGTTATTATATTATTTATTATATATATATATATATATATATATATACATACAATTACCTAAAAATTTCACAATTCGTCGTGCTACGTTTCAATTCGTGTACAAATATTCATATCGATACGTGTTTTTAAGGTCGTTCACATTGCGCCAAAACATTTGATACTGGATTATAATCCATAACTTGTTTTTCTCTCCTCATTGAAATGATTATAGATTATTTTACTTTATATGGGCGTTAATTTTGATTACTATGCAACTATTGAATTATAGAAAATTATCATAATTGCAATAGGTAGGCAATCAAACGCTTTCGATAGTGAATATTCAAATATGTAGAAGTATTGAATATCTGTATGTTTGTAACATATTTCAGACCATCATTAATTTGAACATGAATATTTTAATCGTTCATGTACTTTAGTACTTTCTATCCCAATGATCAATGAAGCAATTTAATTGATCAGCTACATATTTCGTGTAGAATGACTAATATACCTTTATATTTTTGCATACAATCAATCAATAAGCAAAATGCTCTCATGAGATCATGAAGATGATCACACATTTTTTCTGGACTAGAAAAAAACTTATACAAAATTGGTCATGGTCACTCCTCAAGTGCAAGTGGGCAAGTTATTTTTGTCTATTTAAAATAAGTTGTATTACAATATACATCATGATAGTTGTTTGAATCAAACCTTAAGTAAAGACTTGTTCTTAACATATCTTTTAATTGGATATGTTTATTATATAAACAAAATCCAAAATTACATTACAACTGTATCCAACAAAGTTTACTAAACATTACCATAATGAATGTTATTAAATATAATTATTTTTTTCCATCAATCGAAATTTCGGCTTCGGCTTTTTATTTGATCTTAATGACTCTGTTATTGAATACTCAGCCGTGGTTAATTTTTTTATTATTAACTCTCAATTCACCTTCATTACCTACAATGATTAGATCATCGCGCAGTGCGCAGAAAAAACTCGTATATTATTGATACAACACTTTCCACGTGTGTTCACAGGTAAACCGGTGATTATACCGCAAGAGCACGAAGCGCTCATGAAGGAAAAATTCAAAGAGAATCAATTCAACCTGCTGGCCAGTGATATGATCTCTCTGAACAGATCTTTGACAGATGTTCGATTAGAAGGGTTTGTATTTTTGTAAATTATATTTGATACAATAAGTAGATGATAGTAGAATACTAAACTGAAAACGCAATAGTATAAGGAATACATAATAAAATACCGAAAACGTAATATTATCTACACCTAATACATAAAGTAAACCGAATACATAATAGTAAATCGAATTAATAATAAAATAAATATTATCTTCCATACACTTATAGGCTGCATTTAGATGTATTTATTGTATATAGCATAGGTGGGAAACCTGCGGTCTCTAGATTTTTGTGCGGCCCTTTGCCACATAGTACTAAATAGTAGAGTTCTTTTCAAACAACTATTGTACATCAACGTCATGATAGTTTCGCGAAAAATTCTAGATCGGCCGGGCCGTTTTCTTGTAATAAAGTGTTAAATAAAAATTTTCGACGATTTTTATGATTTTTTTGGAAGGTAGATACCATAGTCTTATAGATCATACTAAAATATTACTGCCCTATTACTGTTTTTCTGGCATTTGTCACAATTAGACCTTTCATCGACGTTTTCTCAAAAACGCCTGAACCGATTTCAGAAATTTAAAAGCCATTTGATGTATCTTTGTAATTTGGAAAGAAGTGTTAAACTTTTCGTCCACATTTAAGCTTATACTACCGAACCGATTTTAAAAAATCGAAAACTGTTCGAAAGATATTAGTTGGGAATGATACTGATTAGTTTTAGGTGAAAATCTACCGAGCCGTTTTCTTGTAATTAACTGTTGAAACAAAAATTTAAGCCGTTTTTCATGGAAATTTTTTTGGAGATATATATCATGATCTTATAGAACTTGCTGAAATATTAGGGTCTTACGACAAGTAGTTTAATTTTAAAAATTCATCAAAGTTTGAGAAAATGAATAGTTTTTTTGACGTTTGTTAAAATTAAAATTAGACGATTCACTTGGTATAATGATAAAGTACTTGGTCTTAATAAACGTAACAAATCATTAAAGTCCTACGGAAACTGGTTCAAATAAAAAATTATTGATTTTTGAAAATTTGCTTTTAGAAAATACTCCGATTAAAGTGTTCGTTCGTTTTCATACTTTAATCACTCATAAATTTATTTTTTATTGATTAATCCGATTATTTACACATATCGGGAAGTTCATGTAACTTGCCTCAAGGCAAAATACCAATACCAACTAGTTTTTTTTTGGTAATATTTTTATATTATTTTATATGTATATTATATTTAAAAAAATTCTATATAATGCAATAACTATTTAAATCTATAGAAAAAACTATAATAATTTGACAAAAGTCACTTTCTTAAGTCAATCAGCTTATGCAGCATCTTTTATTGCTGCCTAATTTAAGTGCGGCCTCTGATGGTAAAATGGTTTTTCACTACTGAAATAATTCTGTAATATTTAGTGCAATTAAAATAAAACAAATTCTTTTGTATTTACTTCATATTTATTTAGTTGGCTTTTTATTAGAAGTATTTTGATGTTTTTCGTAAATGTACTTGAGGTACGATTAAGGCGATTAGTCGTTAATCCAGTTCTTAACATATAATGTATAAATGTAATAAACTATATAGAATTAACACAATGAGATCGGGCTTTTGTTATTAGTTACAAAGCCGAACGTAAAGAATGACAAATAAAATAAAATAATTATCTAAAGAAAATAGTAAATGTAACTTAAAGAATGATTTCATGAACAACAAAAGGCATTAAACTTACGAATAAAACTTGTATTGATTTAGTTTATCAAACCAATAACAGTAAAATTATATTATTTTTGCAATTTCAAATTCTTACAGTTGCAAATCAATAACATATCCCAAGAGATTGCCAACCACTAGTATTGTGATAGTCTTCCACAACGAGGCATGGACGACACTATTGCGCACGATTTGGAGCGCGATCAATCGATCGCCCAGAGCACTTCTTAGGGAAATAATTCTAGTAGATGACGCCAGTGAAAAGGGTAAAGTCTCTATTTAAATTTTGAATCGTAAATTTGTGAGCAAAAATCAATAATCTGTTCCAAAATATATCTTCACTACCAAAATCTCCCATTCAAGAATCAGATATTCTTTTCAAATTATTCTTTTTTTAATGAATGTTCAATTTTGAGCAGACACATCAGATCATAATCTTTGAAAAGTTACTAAAATTATCTTATTACTTTACAGCTCATTTAGGTAAAAGATTAGAAGATTACGTTAAGACGTTCCCAGTGGAAACTAGAGTTTTCCGTACCAAAACACGATCAGGTCTGATCAGGGCGCGACTGCTTGGAGCAAAGCATGTTCGAGGCGATATCATCACGTTCTTAGATGCCCATTGTGAATGCACAGGTACTAATTATAAGAATTTATGGCTATTCTCTCAGAACAATTATTAATATTGTTTTGTTATTTCAGAGGGGTGGTTGGAACCACTTTTAGCACGAATAGCTGCAGATCGGAAAACAGTTGTTTGTCCAATTATAGATGTAATATCAGATGATACATTTGAATATATCACGGCTTCAGATATGACTTGGGGTGGATTCAATTGGAAGTTAAATTTCAGATGGTAAATCAATTTTTTGTAACTAAGTGTGTGATTTTATGAATAAATTTTAGATGGATTACATGTATTCATCATTAAAGCATACATGGAAGATTATATCTTTTTAATAAAAAAATTAATCTAATTATAGGTACAGAGTGCCGCAGCGAGAAATGCTAAGGCGTAATAACGAACGAACATCACCTTTGCGAACTCCAACTATGGCTGGTGGCCTATTTTCCATCGATAAGGACTACTTTTACGAATTGGGATCATATGATGAAGGAATGGATATTTGGGGCGGAGAAAACTTAGAAATGAGTTTTCGGGTTAGTATTTTATTGAGCAATCTTTTGTCGCTAATCAACGATGAGGTGAATCATCTTATTCAAACATTCTCTTCACATGGATGAAATAATGATCATAAATATTTTGGTTGTTCACATATTACTTATCTTTTACAGGAGGATTAGTACCAAATGAATTGTTTTGTTTTTGTTCTTAAGAGAAATATCTAAAAGTCTTATCTATCTAAAATTATCTTGATACTAATTAGTGTCAATATTTCAACATGTTCAATTTTAAACGAAAAAATTTCTGAGTAGTTTAGTTGATACCACTATCAACTTTCTAAATTTAATAGTTTTAAGCTTATTTACATCTGGTGGTATCGCAGGGTGATTTTATTAATAATCTAAGTTTTCCTCATGCTATATTTCGCTAAGTGTAGGTTTGGCAGTGTGGCGGCATATTGGAAATAATTCCTTGTTCCCACGTCGGTCATGTCTTCCGAGATAAATCTCCGTATACGTTCCCAGGAGGTGTTTCTAAGATAGTTCTGCACAACGCTGCTAGGGTTGCCGAAGTCTGGATGGATGAATGGAGAGATTTCTATTACGCCATGAGTCCAGGTTTGCCGACATCAATATTCATGTTGTTGGTTTTATCTAATTTGGGACTGTGAACTAACTATTAATCATGTATTAATCTTATTGTTTAAAGAGGTACTGCAAACTATATACCTTAACATATACTACGTGTATATGACTATATCATAATAGCTTTTAAATTCTGCCCTCGGTATGAAACTCTATTTTCTAACAACTCTGGTGATCTTGATCATTTAATCACCAATAAATATTTTTGCTATGAAGTTTATTTTAGATTTACCAGTAATTTTATAAAATAGAAAAATTTAAATCTAAAGTGTAATTTATCGGTAATTTTCACCGATTTAAAAAGTTTTTTTTTTATATGTCTATGATCATGTGTTGCAGAATGGCTCATGATATAATAAAATCTCTCCAATTCATTCATTTAAATTAGCATGGTTACCCTTATGCTTAAATTGTCATTTAATATTTAGTTTTCAGATATTAAACTAACAGAAATTATTGCATTTGCTAACAAATAAGTTTCTTTTCAGACAGAAATTATGTCTCATTGTTATGCCAGAAAAAATAACAAAAAGTATGACATCAAGTATATTAATGATATTTGGAGGTTTTTAATGTGGCTTTGTAGTGTAAATTACTTGAAAGATTCAACAATCAAATTTTAAGCAATGTTTTAAATCATATATTTAATCATTTCTCTTATGTTTTACCTTCATTTCATAGTTTACTATGAAAGTCTGACTTGTAACAAAGTTGTACGGATTGTTTCTATTCGGCTTATGATAACTTAATACAATATCATAGTGGAATGGCTTTGTTGAAAGTTAGACTTAACCATATATCATTTGCTCTATATATGTGTCATTTGCTATTTATGATTAACATGATATTAACATATGAATTGATGATCATTATGGTTCACAATGCTGAATATGTATGCTAACCATAGAAGTTCATTAACAGTACAATTTAATCTATTCAAATTAACATTCTCTAACATGGATCTAATGGATAATTGGGTATGTGCGCGTGTCATCTACTGCCATATTAGATATGGATGTGCGGTGGTAATTTGGAAATTTCGCCTTGTTCTCGTGTTGGCCATGTGTTCAGGAAATCGACACCATACACGTTCCCAGGCGGAACGTCTCGCATTGTCAATCATAACAATGCGAGGCTCGCTGAAGTCTGGCTTGATGAATGGAAGGAATTCTACTACAATATCAATCCAGGTTCAAAATAATATTTTTAAAGATTAGACTGGGTTTTCTTCTGTTTCGATTTAGGCTTTACTGCACTCTCAACTGCATTAAAATTACATAATGAAAAAATAAGCGTTTACTCACCATAATACTAGAAATGTTTTCATTGCAAATGAATTTGATGAAGTATTCTCTATACCAGCCACTAAATCATTTTGCGATCATTTAATTATGGAAGCAATATTAAAACTTATTAGTTGTGATTAAAGTAACTTTGAAGTAATTTTAGGATTTTTTAAAATAAATTCTAAATTTTAAATAATTAATTATTACACAGTAATAATTATTAGGTTACTAAATATATTAATTAAAGTTTAAAATCTTCACTATGTGTAAACTTACCTGCATTTGAAGTTCTTATTATTTCTGAATCTTGTTTTACAGTTTGAAGCAAATTCTAACAGATAAAATCTTGTTTAAAAGTTCCACACTTGCACTTTTTTGTATTATTATCTATATATTGCAAATACTACTAGCAAGTAAAAAAAAAAAAAAAGTTGCACATTTTTTTGGGTGTTGATTACGGTATCCTTAATTCTGAACACATCAGTAGAAAACGTGTGATTCAAAAACATGATATCACAAGCAGTAGTGGCAGAGTAGTTAGAGCATGTTTATTAATTTAACATTTATATACACTAAATTATTAATTGATTTCAAATATTATCAATAAATTGTCATAATATCTTAATTTTCTTCAAAGCACATTTGAAAAGTTAATATAAGCACCAGAAAATGAAGTGAAGAATTGTGTCTATTGACTTCTTTGTTTTGACTTCAATATTCTTCAAATTTGTTTTGTATGAAAATAATGCTCATGTGAATAATTTATATTTTTTATTATAAAAGTACTTAAAGAAATTTTTATTATAGGTGCACGAGGTGTTGACGTTGGCGATGTTTCAGAACGTAAAGCTTTAAGAGAACGTCTTCAGTGTAAAAGCTTTAGATGGTATCTTGAGAATATATATCCAGAAAGCCAAATGCCTCTTGATTATCATTATCTTGGTGATGTAAGTAATATATCTTAATGATAATTTCTAAATATAACTTCAAATTATTTTATTATGTTTATTTTAGATACGGAATGTAGAAACTAAAAACTGCTTAGATACAATGAGCAGAAAATCTGGTGAAAACTTAGGTATTTCATATTGCCATGGCTTAGGGGGAAATCAAGTTTTCGCATATACAAAGCGACAGCAGATCATGTCTGATGATAATTGCTTAGATGCGGCTCATCCCAATGGACCAGTTAAGTTAGTGAGATGTCATGGCATGGGTGGAAATCAAGCTTGGGAATATGATGAAGAGGTAGTTATTTAGTTACATCACAAAATGTTGCAAAAAATTAGGTTTACTAATAATTATTCTAAAATCGAAAACATTGAAACCCCTACATAGCAAAATTTAAGTTATACATTTTTATTTTCTAGGCTAAGACAATAAAGCACACAAATACTGGCAACTGCCTTCAGAGACCGTCGCCTCAGGATTCTTCACAGCCTTTACTCAGACCTTGTGATAATTCCAAAGGTCAAAAATGGGTGATGATGACAAAATTTAAGTGGCAAGCAAATCGGTAGAATGACTTCAGTTTGATAGTTATTTGTGATTTTAGCTAAAAGCAATGGACTTAATAGATGACAAATGAATTCGAGTAGTGATACCATTGAACAAAATCAATATCAGTCTCAGAAAATGTACACAAGAAGAGACGAGTTTAATCTGATCATTATTTCTAAGAATTTTCATATCATAATTCGCTGAATGTTCAAGTTATGAACCAAGTTCAAGCTATATTTTTATTGATATCAGCGAATATTTAATGCAAGACTTTTAAAAGACATTCCATTATAAGACAGTTTATATATTTAATTTAAAATTACATATTTGCTGATAAATATTTATCAGCTAGTACATTATTTACAATATATCAGAGTCCTATGTTCATATCATAAATTAGGAGTTTTTTATTCTTGCATTTTTATATAGCTAGTTAATTATAATGTTTAACATTTTAAAATTTAACTGATAAATTTTTTTTAGTGAGTTATTTGTAATTATTTGTTTGATTGCAAAATATTTGCATCACTATAAAAAACATATCACATTGTTTCATGATAATTGAATTGAATTGAATGACAATGCAAGACGATAACCTTGCTGCAATAATAAGACTATTGTATAAAGATATATATATAAAATAAAACTTTGTTTAAAAAATTTAAATTATGTAAATGTTACTATAATTTATTTTCCTTATGTGCCAGGAGGTGGTGGAGGAGGATGCCTTGGCACTGGATATGGAACAAAATGACCATGCATTGTTGGATTTTGTATTATGTTACTCCCATACCACATATTTTGTGGCATCATATGATTATTGGAAGGACCTTGTAAATAATTATTGAAAACTGGTTGGTAGGGAACCGGGGACGGTTGACCTATATTTGGAAATGGTGGATATATTATATTAGGCACTATATTTGGCCTTGTATTAAAAGCTTGATTATTAAACTGCTGGCGATTTGATTGAGCATGAGAAGGATGCATTGGAAAACTGTGATTCCTTTGATATGATCCTTTACTTTTATTTTTATTTTTATTTGTTGGAGTTTTTCTCTGCTGATCTTTATCTTGAGTATGATTTGAACTATTTGCACTTTCTTCATGTGTTCTCTTTTTAGCATTTCGTGCTGCACGCTCCTGCTCATCATCAGAGTAATCTAAATGTTTTTCTGGAGGTTCTATATCATCTATCCAACTGGCATCTGATCCTTTATGTTTTATCAAATCTGGTAAGAAAATAAATGATGTGTGTTCTGTCTTAGGTGCATAATAAACAGTAGCTCCTATGCAAACATCTTTTTGTTCAATATGTTCTTTAGAATTAAAACGTACGCAATATAGAGGCGCTGATACTGGTCCTATAATGTCAAAAACTTTACCAAGAGCTCTTTTGCCTTCATCTAAAAATAACACACTATCAATGTCAACTGCAGAAATACCAGGCAAAGATTGTACGACAACCAGTTGTTCAACTATAGATTGAATTGTGCCTAAAACTGCTGATTCTTCTTGTTTTACTGAAATAAATAAATCTTCTATTGGCGGAAGATCACTGACAGATAATTCTCCTTTTGCTTTAGGTATTTCTAAAGATTCATGTTTTTCAACTATCTGGCAATAAATTTCTGGATCATCTGAGTCATTACTGGAGGAAGAATCACTTTCAGATACAGCTCGTTCCCTATAAGCCAGTGGTTTTTCATCTGATTCAATTTTTACGCTTATAACAGATTCTTCAGATTCTGATTCAGTCGGTATTTCAGATATTGGTTGTGGATTCTGCACATTTGGTGCAATGTTGATATCAGTTCTTGTCAAAACTTCACTAGTTGAATCATCTGCATCTGATTCATCAGATGAATTATCATAATCAACTAATTTGAGAAAACTCATGATATTTAAACACAATTTTTGATAATTTTGGTAAGTACTTTTCCAGTAAAAAATCACCAGTCTCAATTGTTTTATACAGATCACTTTCTCAAAATGTAACTTCAATTTGTCAAATAATAACATAAACAAATATATTTTTTCATATGTATAGTTCTGATAATTGCTTCTACACAAATATTCATTCACTTCTTATAAAATCAAAATTACAAAAACTAACTATTCGTAATATTATTTACTATTTATAAATATAATTTGCACGTGATACTTGATAAATAAATTTTTAAAATGTAAATTATCTGTTCTGTTTATAAAATTTTTTGTTAGGTTAGCTATGAATGTTTAACCTATCAAAACCATGCTTTGATACTTGACATTTACAGTTTTCGCGCTAATGTTGGTCGCTTGCTTAGCATTATTTTGTCGTGTTGTCTACATTGTACTGAACTCTTTTACGATTTTATTTTCTGGCATCTCTCTTCTTTCCGGTTTGTTTTGTGATCGAAAACATCTATCAAAATGGTATGCAGTAATCTTTAAATAAATATTTAATCTTAAAATAGTATTTTGTTATTTTATTGTGAAAAGTTTTGTGAGATAATGATTATTATGAAAATATCATTATTGTACGATTGTGCTGTGCTATATAATTCTTTTGATTGCAGGCCAAACGTACCAAGAAGGTTGGAATTACTGGTAAATATGGAACTCGTTATGGAGCTTCCTTACGTAAAATGGTCAAAAAGATGGAAATAACCCAGCACGCCAAATACACTTGCACATTTTGTGGAAAGGTACCAAATTCAATATTTCTTTGAACCTAACCTTAAAATTTGACATTGTAATTAGTGCCTCCTAATTACTCCCATTTTCATTTACTTGTTTATAAGAACTAAACCTTGCACAGGTTTTTTGAATCCTCAGTTTAATTTTGCATATATCAGCATAACTTATATTTTAAGTTCTTTTAATAAATCTCAAAATTGATTTTTTTTACTATGAATTGTCATTGTGTATACCTATTTCCTTAGTCGAGCCTTAATGATTACTGTGTATTTGTCGCACTTAATCAAATTTTGTACATTATTTTGCAAACTGCATTGGTAATTATTGTCCTTAGTATTTAACTCTGGTCTTTCGTAATCTTTTGTTTTCAGTGTACAATCTGTAAATAACTTTCATGTATAATTTTAATTTCAGGATGCCATGAAACGCAGTTGTGTTGGAATTTGGTCTTGCAAAAGATGTAAAAGAACTGTAGCTGGTGGTGCCTGGGTATATACCACAACTGCTGCTGCCTCTGTCCGATCTGCTGTTAGGAGGTTGAGAGAAACAAAGGAACAGTAATTTATATTGATCTTAATAAATAATTAATAAAAAATTAAAAGGTATTTCATTTTTTTTCAAATATTCAAGTTTTCCTGTGGTAATTTCAGTACAATTGCATTCAATATTTTAATTTTACACATAAAATTAAAATATGTGCTTAATTGTAATATTAACCATATACTTGTATGATATTAGCTACAATACCCAAAAGCAACTAAATATATAACACTGTGTGTGCTAATGGTATCAACTTTCAGTAGTTGAATCATTTTTGTACTTTCTTTAGCTTTTGGTACTTATTTCATAAGCACTGATTGTGACTGAAGTATTTGCACGTACGGGCTCATATGTTCAGTACAGTGCCAAGCATAGTAATGAAATGTTTTAGTTCAGCCATTATTAAAATTACTTCATAATGTGTATAAAGTAATCTTTAAATTAAGATAAAGTGCAGTTTCTGAACATTTGTACTGTAAGTCTTATGGAAATTCATTCAAAAACAGTGTAGATTTATATTCTGATAGTTTGTATTTGTTTCTCCCATAAAACAATATTCTACATATATTTGTACACACACAACATAGGGTGTTAGGTATTTAGCAACTTTTGGGTATTATAGATAAAATCATGTATACATACATATGTTTTTGGTGCTTACTTTCTGGACACACGTGAGATACTCAGTTTTCTGTTAAATACATAGATAAGGTTATAAATTGGGAATAATCTTTTTGCACATGCTATTGACTCGTGTGAAGTGAAAATGGAAAGTTTCTTGTAGATCCATTTATAGGAATGGAAAAGTCTTGTAGATCCATTTATAGATAGCTATATATATAGTTATAGTTACAATCGAACTAACAAATAAGCACAACAGCCATCAGATGTTTTCTTTGCATTTGTGAGAATAGGTTAAAGATATTAAGAATTATGCATATCATATTGTATTTGTAAAGGCATCGGTACCTTAGGTCGTTTGGCAATAAATTGGTGTTTTTCATTGTAAAATTTTAAGTATTTCAAGTAGTTTCCGTAATAACCGTCATCTTCAATTTTAAAAAAAATGCGCCTGGTATACTGGTATCAATTATAATTGCTGTGCTTAGAGTTCACTATAATAAAGACCTTGGAATAAGGACTTCCAACATGTAGAGGCGCGAGGCGGTTCCAAAATTCGAATTCAACTGAAACAGACGAATTTCAAAAAAAAAAAAATTATGTATATTTATATATTATTTTGTAGCCTGTTTAATAAATTATATCGGTTGAGTATTTATGAAATAGGATTTTAAGAAAAATGAGCTTATTTTTAAGTGGGCAAATGTGCAAAAAGGTGTTGGACCCACATATTGAATTTCGAAATTTCGGTGTTATTGATTTGTTAACATATGAACTATAGTTTATAATGATGCAAACATTTTTGTTGAAATTTAGCCATTTATATTTGAATGTATTTTGTAATCTCTTATTTACTCTATATTATATACTTTCTTCTTAAATTATTCTTATTAATTTATTAATTTAATATTACAGTATCCTAAAACTACAGAATTATATCATCAATATAACTTTCAGTTATATACACTTTGTGAGATTAAACCTTTATCTCTGATTATTAACGTTTTATAAATTCATTTCCTAAACATATTTTATGAAACTTACAATTAGAAATTTATTATTTCAATGCAGCAATGTTATCAACAATCAAGAGCGCAAACATTCTTGCCACTTGATTTTGTAAAATAATATTTACATTATCTTGTGTTATTAAATGCTTAGAATTCTAGGAGTCTATTCTGCAATGCATATATTCTTTGTGTATGAGTGTCATTTTTCAAAAGCATACCATTGTTTTAATAACAGTTTGTTTTCATAACACTAAGTATTATCAGAGAATTATTCGTGGAAAAAAACTTGGGTAACTTTCCACCGGATAAATGGCGAAAATTCTAGGCAGCATTTGCAAATATAATTTATTAGACAATTAGGATTTAAAACTAGTGTAAAATGGATTTTACGTTATTACAAGTTGGATGTATCTTATAACTTAATCGAGTCAATCAA